TTAAAATTTAAAAAGTTTATCATAGATAAACTAAAAAATTTTTTTATTAAAAATTTTTTTTAAAATTGTATATTTTTAGTCTATAAGCAACCTAATTTTTTTTCTTATAATTTAAAAATAAATACTGCAAAAAAGTAATCCTTATTTTCATATATTATTATACCAAATTTTATTTATATATTTTAATAATTTAAAAAAGTAGATCTGAGCTAAAAAAATACAAAAATACAAGCAAATTTGCTTGTGTTAGCCTACAATCTAAGGGATAACTTTTGGTTCAGCATCTTGTAGATACTTCTACAAGTCCTACAAGTGATCTGCTTGTACTAACTATCTAACTTTATAAAAAATTAGAGTATATTATAGGCTGCATCTGACTACTGCTTTATAATAATATGTTGCCAATCTGATAATATCTTTTTGTAAAGAAATAAACAAAAACAAAAAACTTAAATATAAAAAAAAATATAAAGATATAAGAATAAATGACAAAAGATACAATACAAAAAATAAAAAAAAAATAAAAAATATAAGCAACTTTTGCTATAAACTATCAAATAATTATAATTATGAATCTTGTTAAGTTTTTAAAAATTATAAACTATACTAAATAAAATTAACTCTATTATTTTTCTATTTATTTGGAATATTTAACAAAAACTATATAAGATAAAACTTTAACTTAATGTAAAGAGTTAGTATAGGTTACTGGTTAGTTTAGAAGCAGTATTTTACAAGACTTTAGCAGTTCAAGACACATGTATAAGTTATGTTTGTATTGCTATATTGTTTATATAATTCTAATTAAAAAATAAATACTGCTGACTGTTTTGATATTTTATTTATTAATCTTTTAGAAAAAATAAACTGAATTATCTATTTTTTACAAAAATTTTTTCAAAAAAATGAAGACATAAGGTGAACCAAACTTTAGCTTTTGTAAGTGCTTAACCCTTTTGGATATTCTTTGTAGATTTTACAGTTATATAGAAATAATATATCTATTTTTGTTATTTATTTTATAAAAGACTTATAACTTTTATCAACTACTTTTTTTATAGTTTCAAAATGCTTTTAAACTATTATTACAAAGTGATAGCTTCTTTTTCAACTTTATTTCAATATCTACTATGTATGCCCAATACTTTAAAGAAGTTTTTATAAAGTTTAATATATTAACTATATTATTTTTCTGTAGTTTAGCTTTTTGAAAGATTTGGTTTAGATAATTATTAAAAAGAGTTGATGTGTTATTTATTTTCTTTAATTATTAATTTTTTATTTTTTAAATTATTAATTTTATAAATAGTAAATTTTTATATATCTTAAAAAAAAAATTTATATATTATTTTGTATAATTTTATATATATTAATTTTAACTTAGTTAATTAAATTATGAATTTTAATATAGTAATATTTTTTAATTTTTTTTTTAAAATTTAAAATAAAGATGTTTAAACAATTATTTAACTAAGTTTAATAAGCCTTTTTTTACTTTAATTTTACAGATTTGTAAAATTAAAATAGAAATTCTGTCAAATTTATTTAAATAATTATTAAAATATTCTTATTAAATTATAACTAATTTTCATTTTAGATAATATTATCTGGTATTATAAAATTTTTATTATAAGTAAATAAATTTAAAGTTAAGGTTGTTTTAGATTAGATTAAAGGATTTCAATATATGTAAAATTTTATACTAGAAACTTTTGTTTAAAAGTCAAAGCATAGTTTTATAATAATATTTTGAATTATTTGGGGGGTTTTTTTTCTTTACTTTGTTTTTATACAATCAGATGATATTATCTAGAATGAAAATTAGCAAGTCTTTTTATTATTATTTTAATTTAATAAAAGTTTTTATTTACAAATTTTAAATACAAATATCTTAGCAATTATATAAATAGTTTTAATTTGTAAAAATAAAATAAAATAAGTTTATCAAATTTATTTAAACAATTGTTAAAAAATTTTTGATTAAAATTTAAAAACAATGTATTACTGTTTTAATTTGATAATTATTTTAATTTTTTATTAAACTTTGAATATAAAACTATCAAGACAAATATGCTAATTTTTTTAATTTAATTTTACAGATTAGTAAAAAAAATTTATTAAACTTGCTAAATAATTGTTTAGATATTTTTGTTTAAAGTTTTAAAAATAAACCAAATTAGTATTTGTAATTTAATTGAATAAACTTAATTTGATATATGTAAAATTATACAAACTAATATATAAAAAAAATTAGTATAATACAATTTTATAACATATTCCTAATACTTTAATTTACTTTTACTTTGTTTTCAAATTTTTAATTTAGATAATCCAAAAAGTTTATAACCTGTTTTTAATATATCAAATCTTGTTTAGTATTTTTTTTTTTATCTAATTTACTATTTTTTAAAAAGAAAGTTTTTTAAATTTAGTATAATTATTATCTAGATGACAAAATTATAAACTTTTTACTACAAAAATTTTGAAAAAATTTTGCTAATTTTAGACCTATTTTTAATAATAAAATTCTAAAGCATAACTCATTACTATCTGTATTGTTAATATTTAATAAAGTATTTTATTTATTTAAACACTAAAGTTGATGTAATTACTCTTGAGCATATTTTTTAATTATATATATATAAGTATTGTAAGAATTGAATTTAGCACCAATTGGAAAAAAAATAATAACATTACATCTCTTCAAACTTCTAATAATTACAATACCTTACAATGAACACAACAAACTAGACATCACAAAAGATCACATACAAACTATATATATTTATGTCTATGTGAAATAGTAGATCAATTACACTTACATTCTAATACCTGTTCACTGATTGGACAGGCTATTAGGAAAATCAATATATGATTAACACTCTGGATTAATTATAGCACATCTTACAATTATATTCTAACATTACAAATCTAAATGGATCTTGACCACCATAGTCAGTTTAGATCACAGATAAAGTCATCTGAGTTTTAATTCTTGCATGTAGTTTTTATTTTGTATTTTACAATCTTAGTATATCTTTAATATATAGTATATTAATATGTACAACAAAAATTAATAAAGATATGAGCAAGGTTTCACTTTAATACCAAAAAAAAAAAAAATTGAATTTAGCAAATCAATTTCTATTGCTATTACTATAACTATTTCTAATAATGTCAATATAAATTTTTTATACGTATGTGGGCTCTCTACCAAATTTGATAAAGTAATGTCAATTATCACTATCATGACTATTTTCGGTAATGCCTATATTTTTTTGAAAATTTTTTTTGTCTAAATCCTGATTTTAGTTCGTACCATATGAAATATTTTTTTTGATACAATTAATAAAGGTACACTTTTTGAGCAAAGAATATAATTGTTTTTACATCATTTTTTTTTTTTTAAACGATAGCTTTTATTGTGCTCTATTCAACAATAACGTCAGTTTTACATATTTCAATAGCTTTACATTTGTCAAATTCGAGTTAAGTTCATTCATATTTAAGAATCCACTATCTATAAAATAAACTGAATCGAAAAAATGCCATTATTACATAATTACATAATTTTTTAAAAAAAAGTAAACGGGTAATTGTTATATTGGTTCGAGAGAAAAACTTAACCGAAAGTTATTATTATCCGCAGTAAATTGACCCAATTAATCGAGGCTAATTTTTAGAAACTAGGTTTAGGTTTTTTTATATGTCGCATCAGTTAGATACCATGTACTGTACGTAGGAATTCCTTAATTAAACTTATGTTGATATTTATATAGCAAACCTAAAGTACTCCCCTGTATGCTGTATGCTGTGTCATGACTCGGACAAATTTAAATTATATATTAATTAAAATTGTCCAGAATTGGTTTTTGCGTAGTAAATCATTATATGCAAGTTACAGATTTCACTCTCACGCACTTATATCGATATGTATTTATAAGCTAGACGAAAGTCGGACTGTACGGATGCCCAAAAAGTGGATGTACCCAAAAACACTATATAACGATAATGTCGAATCATTACTAATCCATTTTAATGATAATCTTTAGATTAAAAATATAAATTGAAATTAGTAATATATACTGTACATACATACTTTTAAATAATAGTTCTTTTTTAGGTTTGATTGTTATAGATTTTAATTAGGATATCTTGAATTTTAAAGTTAGACGGCTTACAAATTCAGGTTAAATATCGATAGTTTTATCTCAAACTTTGTAACAGATAAACGTGATCAAAAGCCAATAAAAATTCTCAGAATCATCTCATTTTTGATGAGTATAGGGCATGTATATCGTCAAATGAAAAACCAGCAATTTTTAGATAAGATTTCCGGATTTTGATTTTTGATATATATACGCATGATTCATCATGAGTAACCAATTTCTATCGAATTTTTTTTCCATCTTGGTAAGTATAAAGTTCATATTATCATAGTCAACATAGAAGCCAGGTGTAAACACAAAGCCACTAGTTCAAAAATAAATATCGAAAATTTGTCATAACAGTAAACGAATTTTAAGAAATGACCAATTCACTTGATCTTCTCACTGTCAACACCATTCGTACTCTTGCCGCTGATGTCGTGCGTAAAGCCAGCTCGGGGCATCCAGGTTAGTTTTTTAATAGCTCCCGTCAAAGATTAGTATTTGTATACGTAATTCTGTTTGACTTCACTTATTCTTGATTATCTGCTTGATAGGGGCACCCATGGGATGCGCTCCAATGGCACACGTTGTTTTCTCAAGGTTCATTACTGCAAACCCAGCAAATCCAAAATGGGTAAGTAATTATGCGAGTTATGAAACTAATCAAATAAACCCTTGATCGGATCAAAAAAAGTTTGTCGGATTCATACCCAAAATTGAACCAGTTTCATGAAAAGTTGCAGAGATTCTCCTTTTTTGGGATATGATACGTTTCACCTGATCAATGTGAATTTGTGATGTTCATTTAAAAATTTGGTAATTGATTTATTAATCGAACTCTCGACAATTTTGCTATCTTAGCCTAATCGAGATCGTTTCGTATTGTCCAATGGACATGGATGTGCATTGCAATACATTTTGCTTCATATACTCGGATATGATCTCACCATGGATGACTTGAAACAATTTCGTCAAACTGATAGCAAGTGAGTTAAATATAGGTCAATTTCTATGATTTTTGTAATGTGCAATCTGATCACAAATACATTGCATTCTAGAACTCCAGGGCATCCGGAATCTCACATGACACCGGGTATAGAAGTATCTACGGGTCCTCTTGGACAAGGTAAATTACAATATCTAATCTCTAAATATCATCGTGATAAGTTCACTTTTTAATTGTTCACTTGATCGTTCATAGGCTTTTCCAATTCTGTTGGATTGGCAATGGCTCAAGCTCATTTTGCAGCTACCTTTAATAAACCAGGCTACAACTTGTTCACAAACTACACTTACGTGATCAATGGTGACGGTTGTCTTCAAGAAGGCGTTGCCTCCGAGGCGGCATCTCTTGCCGGGTAATCAATTATCTGACACCTCTTGTATAATATAACTATGATTAATCTAATTCTTTTGTTTAGCCATCTTCAGCTCGGAAACTTAATTGTACTTTATGATGACAATTACGTGACCATTGATGGTATAATTAAATTATATTTTGTTCTATTGTCATTAAATGGGTTGATTCAATAGAAATCAAGCAAATTTTTTCAAAGTAAATTTTTTTAAAATTTTAAGCAATTAATAACTCAACAAAAACTTAATAAAATTTTATAATTTTTTTTTAAATAATTTTACAAACTTATAGAATTTATTTAAAAAATTTTATTAAATTTGATCAAGTTTTTGTTAAGTTATTAATATAAAGCTTTAAAAAAATTTCAATAAAAACAAATTGCTTGATTTCTATTGACTCACCCTCAAATATTATGCCCAAATATTAAATATTGTAATAAAATTTATAGGTGACACTAACGTGAGCTTTACGGAAGATGTGTTAAAGCGCTTTGAGGCTTATGGTTGGCACACGCAATATGTAGCTGATGGTGATAATGATTTAGATGGGATCGCTGCTGCTATTGAACAAGCAAAGAAAGTAACTGACAAACCATCCATCATAAAAATCAAGACCATTATTGGTATTGGGTCTAAGCACCAAGGTACTGAAAAAGTTCATGGTAGTCCCTTGGCTCCTGATGATATTGTTGAAGTAAAGAAAAAATTTGGATTCGACCCTGAAAAATTCTTCCATGTACCGAATGAAGTTAGTTCCATTAATAATAGTTTATTATTAGTATTATTATTATCTTTTGTTTTTTTTTTGTTTTTTTCCAATACTTATCATTTTTCAGGTTTATGATTACTGTAAACATTTTCGTGAAAGAGGAGCTAAAGCAGAAGCAGAATGGAATCAACTTTTGGAAAAGTATTGTCTAGAATATCCTGAATTGGTAAGACAAATAATACTTGATCCACAGTCTTGACGCACTGGACTAGGTATTATAGAATGAAATATAACATAGTACTGATTGATCATGTTCGCCAAAACAGTTTGAAATTGTGATAAATATTATCTCTCAGGTTTATTAAGGAGTCTCAAACCATTTGGGCGACATAACAAGTACTAGCAGTGTAAATTTAATTGATAGCCTGTTCATAAAATTGTAACTAATTCTATTGTCTCATTCATGTTTACACCAGGGTAGTGAAATAAAACGTAGGTTCTCCTGTAAATTACCGGACAATTGGACTGACCATTTACCTCGCTACACCCCGTCAGATCCTCCCGTTGCCACTAGAAAATCATCAGAGATAGTTTTGAATAAAATTGCTGATGTGCTTCCAGAGCTCATTGGTGGCTCTGCAGATCTAACAGGGTCTAATTTAACACGATGGAAGACTGCTACCGAATTTCAAGCAGATTCCACGGGGTTGGGTACATATAGTGGACGGTATGTAAGATATGGGGTTCGTGAACATGGCATGGCTGCTGCTATGAATGGCCTTACTGCCTATGGAGGTATAATTCCATTTGGAGGATCATTCTTAAACTTTATTAGCTATGCTTTGGGAGCTGTTCGTTTATCAGCGCTTTCGTGTTTTCGTGTAATTTATGTAATGACTCATGATTCCATTGGTTTAGGTGCGTATATATATGTATATATATTTTTAAAAAATTTGAATGCTTATAAGCATTATAATTTTTTTATGCATTAATATTATAGGAGAAGATGGGCCAACTCATCAACCTATTGAAACTGCAGCTGGTCTCCGTGCATTACCAAACCTTCTATTTCTTAGACCTGCTGATGGAAACGAGGTTTCCGGTGTATATATGGCAGCGATTCAGAACACTGAACGCCCTTCAGTAATTGCACTTTCTCGTCATAATGTCCCTAATTTAGAAGGTTCTTCAGTTGAAAAGACACTCAAAGGAGGATATGTATTGAAAGAAGTTGATGGAGCGCAAATTATCTTAACGGGAACTGGTACAGAAGTTTCGATCGCTGTTGATGCAGCCAAATTATTAGAAAAAGACGGTATTAAGGCACGTGTTGTGTCTTTACCATCCTTTGAACTTTTCGATGAACAAAGTTTGGAGTACAAATTGTCAGTCTTCCCCGATGGCATCCCTGTTTTAAGTATTGAGGCACTTTCTACTTTCGGTTGGTCTAAGTACGCACACGTAAATTTAGGTATGAAATCTTTTGGCTCTTCCGGACCTTACAAAGAATTGTATAAAAAATTCGGACTTACTCCTGAGAATACAGCGGATAAATCCAAGGAGGTCATAGAATTTTATAAGATCCATCCTGTCCCTTCACTTGTTTGTAAACCATTTTAAACCATGAATTCTTATTGTTCAATATGTAATTAACTATAAACTGTACATGTAAATTTGGTTAAATTAAATTTAATTAAATTAATGATCAATAAATATGTTGTATAGTTCGTATGTATGTATTGTACAAACCTTTTAGCGGATTTTTTTATATCAAGAACATATGATCTCGGTGGTTTAGCATTACCAAAAAATTTCATCTTCTAATTGAATTCAAGATATAACGCTTATTTGTTCACAGAAAGATAATCATGTGTTACGTACATGTAGATCATTTTAAGTAAATTCTTTTATTACTGTATTATGCAATAATACATTTAATTGTGTATAAGTATATATGTTATTTTAGTGTTATCTATTTAAGCAATCATTTACTTTTTTTGAAATTAAAATTTATATATATAAAAAACATTTTTAAAACATGCTTTTTACAAAAGCATGCTTTTTGAAGCATGTTTTAAAATTTTGGTCAAGAGAAAAGATAAAAAATATAAACAAGTTAAAAAAGAAAAAGAAAAAAAAAATAGAAAAGACAAATCAGATAAAAACAGAAATCTGAAAGACAATTAACATGCTTGTTACAAAAGGAAAAAACCCTTTTAGTATGGCTTTAAGTAGTTAGATAAGCAGTTTATTTCTAATAGAGGTAATGTAACAGATTGCATTTAGATATTATTAGAATAACCAAGTGATGCTAGACTTAAACATTAGAAAATTTTATAGAATTGTATATGTATATAGTTTTAAGAATCTTAATAAAGTACTAATATAACTGCTTAAAATTAAAAATATATATATATATATATATTATTTGGAATATTTAACTTTAGCATTATATCTTTAACTATTTGTTATAAATTAACAATTCTAATCTTCTTGATATTATAATTTGCATTAGACTCTAACAGTTATAAAATAATTTACAGTTCTTACTAGTATATTACACTATTTTAAACTTACTATTTTTTTTTTCCTTAAACAGTTATGCTAGTGTTTTATTAAGATTTTGAAATTATTTTTGCAATTATATAAATATTCTTAACAATTAAATCCAGCATTACTCAGCCATCCTAATAATATCTAAATGCAACTTGCTGTATTACTTTAAGTAGAAGTAAGTCACTTGTCTGACTACTTAAAATTCATAATGAAATGATATTTTTTCTTTTATGACAAGCTCTAAAATTAGTTTCTGTATTTCTTTTTTAACTTATTTTTTTTTTTTTTTTTGCTTTCTCTCTTCTTTCTTCTATTATTTACTAATTAGTTTTCTTTTTTTACTTGATGCTTTCTTTACTTTTCTTTTTCTTCTTTTTATTTTATCTATTATTCTTTTATTTTTCTCTTATTCATTGATCTTCTTACATCAGATTCTCTATACTTGTTCATAAAATATGTTTCAAGTCATTCTTACTATTTATTCATAAATTGCTATCTTGATCTTGTATTTAGAAACTACCTTAATCTTTCTTGTATTTCTTTTGAAATAAGACCTTTAATTAGTGCCTCTTTTATTTTAATTTTCTCTGTTTCTGTTTTTTCAAAAAGTATTGTATATAATATATATAGGAGGACTCAAACTTTTTCTTCTTCCTTTAATCTCTTCTAGACTGTTATAATAGTCACTTTTTAGATTCTTTTTTACAGATTTTTTTGTCTCTTACATGTTGCCAAATATGTCTGTATTTCTTTTATTTTATATTAATATACTTGGCACTCTATTGTTGTGTATATATCTGATCTTTTTTTGTTAAGTTCTTCTAGGATTAAAAGTTTATCTATTATGTACTTTAAAATATACTTCTTCTGATACTACTTCTTTTTATTATACAGTATACTCCTTTAGATATTCTCAGTCTATTCCAAAAATATGTTCAATCATAAATTATAACTTCTATATCTAGTTCTAATCTTCTAATTACTTTTGTTTCTTTCCATTCTAATCCTAATTTTATATTTGTTATCAATTTACTTAGCAGTCTTGCTAATATATCAGTATGTTTGTTTTCCCACTCTAAATAGTACTTTATCTCTTTATAACTGACTTTTTTAACCTGTATTATCTTTTTACTTATTGTATTTTTTTTTGCTAGACTATTAGCTTTATCATTTTATTTATTTTTACTATGACTCTTAATTTTAACAAACTCTATCTGAATGTTCTTTATTCTAATAAGCTCTTTAATTTTCATTACCTAAATTATATTCTTCTTTTTGAGAATCTTATTTCTGCATACTTGTTCTAAACCTTTACTAATGTTTCTTATTGCTGTAATACTATTCATATATATTTTTACTTGCTTTTCTTTTAGTATCATTAAAATTACAGCCTATATTGCTACTAACTCAGCTATTGTCAATGTTTGCCCAAACTTACTATTAATAGTTCTAACAGATATTTATTAAATTTTAAAATTTTTTAATTTCTTATTTATTTTAGTTTAATTATTTTGGTTTAATCATTTTAGTTAATTCAAACTTAATCTGATCTTATATAATAGCCAGTTACTAGAGTTAATTCTGTTATAATATCCAAAATATTCTATTTTTAAAAAGCAACTTAGATAATTAAATATTATATATCTTAAACAACTTTGTATAATAAATAATAGCATCTTACTTAGAAAACATTTTTTACCAAGACTGTTATATCTATCTAAAGATCAAAAATTTTCTTGATTCTCTTATTTAAAAAATATAATTATAGTATACTTTTATTATCAAAATATTCTATCATATTATTAATTATCTTAATTATAATTCTTATATTTATTATATTATTAAAGTTTATAAATCTAAATTCTGGTTACTTCTATATTATAATAACAAAATTATTATTAAAAAAAATAAAAATATATATTTTTTTTTTTTGGTATTAAGGTAACCTCTTTGGTCTTTAGATTTTTATTAATTACTTGTTGGCATTGTAATTCAATGAACCACTACAGGAGAGCATACAATTGGCTACACATGTAACTTTTCTATATTACCTATTTAAGGAGTCCACCCAAAGGTTCCTCACCAATTGCCGTATCTAACATCCCTGCTTGGATGTTCCACTTTAAACTCTCTGAACCTGTAACCTGTGTTAATATTACTGGTCATCACTGATGTACCAGATCATTGTCCTCAACCTTAGAACTAATTTATCCTCAAGGTAAACCCCCCAGAGCCTTCTGTACCTATTTTTATAGCTAACCTAGGTATCACTATGGTAGAACTAACACTTGCGGTCAGGGCTAACCATTAAACCACTATGTCCTTGTAGAGTTCACTTAGACCCTAGCATCTACTTCACAGCATAACCCCAGTACTTTAGTATATCCCTGCCTTTTGTCCAGCCTTTTTACTAAACTTCCAATCCAGATAGCCTGTGTAGGACTACGACTAGTACATTGGTATATCGGGTTAGCCTGGTATCCTTTTCCTCAGATTCATTCTAGCAGTCTGGTTGGTGGTACCACTGGGACCCCCAACCTGAAGGTTCTTGCCCGTCCGGCTACTACAACTGGGTACTATGACCTTGGTATCTGTTTTCCCAGCCTAGCCTTTACAGTAGGGCCATCGAAGATCCAGCTACCTCTCTACTCGGGTTTTTCCAAATGGACTTCTTGTTACCCAATTTCAATAAATTTACATAGCCACAAGGACTTATCTAGTGTTGCACCGCCCGATTTGTCAGTTTGCATTCCTCCGTATAACTTCAACATTGCACAGATGCCCCATGACCTGCCAGTCATGCTGGTGCGACTGCCATTACAGATATCCTAACCCAATCATTAGTAATAGTTGCCATAATACGAATATTATATAGGTAATTATCCAAATTTTCACTGTCGATGGGATTTGAACACCCAACCTACCACTTGGGGGGTTGACAACCTGACCACTTCACTAGGTCACCACACTCCTTTATTCATTGATTTTTTTATATCAAATTCTTTATACTTGTTTATAAAATATGTTTCAGGCCATTCTTGCTATTATATTTATAAACTATTGCCTTGATTTTGTGCTTAGGAGCTGCCTTAATCTGTTTTGTATTTCTTTTAAAATAAGATCTTTAATTAGTGCCTTTTTTATTTTAATTTTATTTGCTTTTGTTTTTTTAAAGAGTGCTATATATAATATATATAAAATAATCCAAACTTTTTCTTCTTCTTTTAACCCCTTTTAAACTGTTGTAATAGTTACTTTTTGGATTCTTTTTCAAAGATTTCTTTAACTCTTACATGCTGCCAAATATGCTTGTGTTTTTTTTGTTTTATCTTAGCATACTTGGCACTTTGTTGTTGTATATACATCTGGTCTTCTTTTTTTAAGTTCTTCTAAGGTTAGAAGTTTATTAATTATGTACTTTATAAATATACTTTTTTTGTTACTACTTTTTCTTGTTATACAATGTACTTTTTTAAATATCTTCAGTCTTTTTTAAAAGTATGTTCAATTATAAATCATAATTTTTGTTTTTGGTTTTAATCTTCTAATTGTTTTTGTTTCTTTCTATTTTGCTTCTAATTTTGTATTTATTATTAATTTGTATAACAGTCTTGCTAATATGTTAGTATATTTGTTTTTCTACTTTAAGCAGTACTTTATCTCTTTGCAACTAACTTTTTTAGCCTATATTATCACTTTACTTGTTGCACTTTTTTTTGCTAGACTATTAGCTTTATTATTCTATCTATCTTTATTATAGCTTTTAACTTTAACAAACTCTATCTAAATGTTCTTTGTTATAATAAATTCTCTAATTTTCATTATCTATATTGTGTTCTTCTTTTTAAGAATCTTATTTCTGCATACTTGTTTTAAACTTTTACTAATATTTCTTATTGCAACATTGCTATCTGTATATATTTTTACTTGCTTTTCTCTTGGTATTGTTAAAATTGCTGCCTATATCACTATTAACTTAGCTATTGTTAATGTTTGCTATCTTTCTAGACCTAATGCTAACTTTTCTTCTAGTTATTTTGTGTTTCATCTGTTTGAACTTACTC